ACACATCTAGATGTGTATAAGAGACAGATATTATTCTGGTCATCTTTCTTTTTTTTTTTTTTTTTTTTTTTTTTTTAAATTCCAGATTGATGTAGAGGTTGGATGCCAGACATATGACAGTCACCCTTGTGGGTTTCCGAAAATTGTGAGAGTCCCATTCCCACTTGCAAGAGTCCCACTTGTGAGTGTCCCACTTGCAGGAGTCGCACGTGCTTGAGACACACACCCTACACATGAAATATGGCCGTTGGTTGCATGCAGTGTGCCCTAGAAGACATCCGTGAAATGACTCGAGTGATGAAGCATGGAGAGTGGAAAAGCAAGTCGTACGCCGAAGTTCCTCGCCCATCCCACTGACCGCACTTAAAGATGTGAGGGGCACTGGGCGTGGTTCCCAATCTATAGTGTTTTTTTGGTGGGGGTGGAAGTGGGGAGAAAAAGAAAAAAAAGAATAGCGATCTCTATGATGCTGGGGTTGGGGAGCAGGATCGAACAGAACTATGAAGCACCGAGAGCAAAATAGGAAAAGCCATATGATGATGGGGCGCTGCATATATAGGATAGCTCACCTGCCAATATCCTTGAGGGCACCTGAGATTGATGCAGTGACGAAATCTGTAGAGCGAGCGGCTGCTCAATGCCGTAGCTGCAAGCTGCAAACAGGAGATGCGATACAGCAAGCAATCACATTTGCTATGACATTGTGTGTGCTGAGCAGTGGAAGCTGAAGATGCCAAGGCCTCGTAGCACCAGGACGAACGCGCCGACCAAATCTGGACAAACAAAAGCCATATCGAAACAAAGCCACATCGAACAAAAAACACATCAAAAGTTTTTAAAACAAAGGGCATAGCAAAACCACTGTTGAAATGTGCAAAATGAGGATAAACTTCCCGCTAGAGCATGGCCAGATGCACCCGCCACATTTTTGTCTTTTTCACATTTCGAGGGTGTTGTGGCGTGGCCCAAAAACTGCATCGAAAGTTTTTGAAACAAAAAAGCAGATCGAAACAAAATCTGTGTTTGTAAGGTACAAAAGCTTCCTTCAGGGAGAAAAGACTATACAAAGGCGACAAGCCAAGAGCTAGAAAAAGAGCGAGTTGTTCGTCTGTTAAAGGAGACAAGGAAGAGTGGACTCCCACTGGCATACCAGAACTTCACCGATAGACAGTATTAGATAATTAGGGCCTCACTCCACTACTCACCAAATGTGCAAATTGAGAATGAACGTTCCGCTAGAACCTGGAAAGATACACCACCATATTTTTTGTCTTTTGTGCACGTGGAGAGTAGTGGAGTGAGGCCCTTAGACACCATACTTGCATCCGAAACAGGTGCGCTGGTGGTGCGGTGGGGAAAACTAGGTGTGCACACACACAAAAAACGACTATAAAATAAAATCGTTTTCAGTTTTAGTATTGACTTTATAACTTTTATTCTAGGCTACCAACCGGGGCATCTGGGTCATTGGACAAGGGCCAGGGATCGTCCCAGAAAAATTAAAAAAGAATCGAAAAAAAAGTTTAAAAAACTATGAAATGCGGTGGAGAAAACTGAGTGTGCACAAAAAACGACTATAAAATAAAATCGTTTTCGGTTTTACTACCCCGTTTTAGTATTAACTTTTATAACTTTTATTCTAGGCTACCAACCGGGGCAAACTATGTTATGGCCTAGCTTTCCAGCCCGGGCGCCAGGGGTACCGCACTGTGCTTGGAATGGCGCCCGGGGTGCCCACTCCCCCGAGTGGGCACCCAGGCGCCCGGGGTACCCCACCGTGCAGCCGGGCAACCCCCCCGAGCAGGCACCTGGGCGCCTCTCGCACCGACGCAGAGAAAGCCTCAAATGTTTTTTTTCGCGCCGCCGCCCTATTCCGAACGTGCCAACTTCTTTTTTGGCGATCGGCGCATTTTTTTCCGAGTCCGATAGGCCCCGTTTTGTAGGTTTTTTTTTTTTTTTTGGGATTCTGGCCGTCGATCTGGATTGATCGACAGGCGCATTGATCCAGGATTCAAATTTGAATCCTGGGCTTCTCCTTCGTTTTGTCGTCTTCTTGTTCTTCTTTCTTCTTTTCTTTCTCTCTTTCTGCAGTTCTTCTTTTTCTTCTTCTTCTTCTTCTTCGCCTCCCTCCTCCCTCCCTCCTCCCTCCCTCCTCCCTCCCTTCTCTGACATGGCGCTCCTCCGTCCTCTCTCCCTCCTCTGACGTGGCACTTCTCTCTCCTCCCTCTGACTTGGTGCTCTTTTGTCTTCCCTCCTTCCTCTGATGTGGCACTCCACCACAGGTGGGACACAGCAGCTGCTGTATCCCCGACCCCGCCAACGGACAGTTGATAATCCAGGCCCCTCCTGCACGCCCTCCTCCCCCCCAACACACAGAAATCAACATCCATGAAAATAAAAAAAAGATGCCGAATTTGGGCAGTACTCCCAAAGTGCAGCAAGGTCTGGCAGCAAAAAAAATAAAAAATAAATCTCAGTGGCTTTTTAGCGTGCCCGGGGTACCTCGGGCGTGGTCCCTACCCGGGTGCCCCGAGAAAGCTAGGTTATGGCAGTTATGCAGAATCCCTGAAAAAAAAAGCAGAAAACCCCCAAAAAGAACTATGTTATTACAGTAATGGCAGTTATTCAGAAAAGTAAACTGCCCAAGTCCGAATTAAACACTCTGCCGAAAATCAGGCCCGGCGTCCCTTACAAAAAACAAAAAAGGGGGGGCGACCCCGTCGAAATGCTTCAGGCACTCCTGACTGGTTCATTCCAGGGCCGCACAGCAGAGCCAACCCAATTCGAAAATGTATAAAACCCCAATCGGGCAGAGTACACAACAAGAAGACCACCAAAAAAAGGCAACTATCCAAAGCTGTTGCCACACACTGCAGAACCACCCTGCCACCTGCACGGCAGGGGTCTGTATCCACAGCCCCCCACTCCAGACAAAGACCCCGCAAATTCCACCTGCCTCCTCGCAATTCAGGGCGGATTGCACCTCTACCAGCGGTCCCACACTCACAATTACCAAGAACACCAACTCCACCACAATGGTGTTTTCGCAAACCAACGGAAGTACCCTACCGCCCCTGCGGCAGGGGCCAAAGACCCCGCAAACCCCTCCCTCCTGCTCACGAATTAGGGTAAACCACCGCCCCAATCTCCGGGTTCACATCAAATTCTTTTACCAAATTCATATATATATATATTATAATATTACCAAATTTATATATATATAACTATAAAGTTATGAACTACAATACCGCACGTTGCGAAACAAACAGCAAAAATAAAAAATTTAAAAACAAGAAGACAAACATGAAAGGCACACTGAAACCATTCATTTTTCTCATTCTTCTTTCAACTCCCCCTTCAACATGCCTCTCACGTACAAGGCTCGCCACGTTGGTGAAGTTGAGCGTGAGCTGCGTACGCTGTGAGAAAGAGGCAGAGTGAAAGGGGAGGGGATAAACACAGGGAGGAGAGATGGAGAGAAGACAAACAAAGAACGATAAAGGGAAAGTAAGGGAAAGTACGGAGTGTGGAGTGAAGATGAAGGCAAAAGAGGATAAGAAAAGGCTCAAGAATGAGTTTGTTCTTGATGACAGAGAGGACATACATTGTAAGGATGAGGTGGATGAACACATGGAAGACCTAGCTGGGCATTCTCAGTGCAACAATTGCCACGACGGCTGGCATTGAGCATGCCCACCATACACCCCTGACGATGGCATGTCGATTGCAGGCCAAAATGAAGGAAGAACGGACACCACAAAAGACCATGGATTCAGTGTAGCGCCCATGGCCGCAAAATGGACATGTGGTGTCCGGATGCGGAGGGTGCCTCCAGTCAGGAACGGAGGGACAGTCCTCTGCACACATGGATGCAGAAACCATGTCATTGTAGTGATTGTGACAGAGACGATGGCGGCTACAGCCGAGTGTAACAGTGTTTGTGGCTGTGCAAAGGAGAAGGTCGCAGAGTGTTGGTACATTGTCTTGCTGCAGCACGGGGCCAGAGGAATGATCTTCGACATAAAAAAAAATGCAGACGGTTTGTTGTCTCGTCAAACAGAGCTGCCTGGTAAACCATAGGCAGAGAGGGTGAACGAGACAACAAATGAGGGGCTGTGGCAAACTGCTTCGTCGGAGTTTCACCGACTCATCAGGAGGCTGAACCCTCAAAAGTGCATGGGTCCTGTGGACCATCTCACGCCAAAGTGTATAGATCATGCAACTTTGTCACTCTCAAAGAACTGTAGCCATCACACTTAGACAAGGGTAGGAGAGAAGAATGCTGCATGACGCAGCTTATATTATCAAAATTATGTTTACAAAGAGTGCCAATGTTCCCTGAACTCAAGCGCACTCCCAGCTCATCACATATTCAGTCCCCAACGCATCAAGACAGCATGTACACTACAGCGCTGCCTCTGGAGATCACGTYTCAGTCCAGGTAAGTATCCTCCATAGCCCAAAGCTCTTGAACACCTTCTGATGTAGTTCCTTCCTCCCACGTATGCATGAACACTCTCTCTTCTCTCTCAAGGACCTACTCTGAATGCATCTCACGGGTCTTCCTCTTCTAGTCTGTGCTAGGCAGCTATGGCTGCTTCTACTACTAACATCCTGGCCAGGCAGCTATGGCTGCATCATCCTGCACCAGCGCCCAGCCTCTGCCTTCAGCGCCACTTCCAGCTCCAGCGCATCCTCCTCCTCCCACCAAATAGCGCACAAGTGGCCAGCACTTCCACGACAGTGGGGAATCTGCCACAAATGAGGCGAGCAGCCTCCTTTATAGTGCTGGATTCCACGTTCAGCATCTGAATTCGCACTTCGGCCCTGTCCCAGGCCCTGCATTGCATGTGTCCCAGTGATATCCCAGAAAGGTACTGCTGCTTTTGGCCTTCGGCCTGTATTTCGGACAGTAGGACTGGATCTGGACTGCCTACAGAACTTAATTCAGTACTGGGACTTTACAGTTGTCTTGACCTTCGAACAGACACAGCAGATTGACGAACAGACACACAACCTATTCGAATAGACACTTTATATTGCACGAACAGGCACTATCTGCACAGCCCTTTGACACACCCCTTCGGACAGTTTCCAGCATGCCTTTCCATAAGACTTTTCTTTCTTTTTGAGATGGGACTTCTGACCTTTAACAGATGTGTTTCTTAGCTTAGATTCAGATGTCCTTAGTCAGAGAACTTTGACTGTTGATCTGCTTTTCACGTTTCTGGATTCTGGCGAGATACCCCTTCACACTGCTTTACTTTTATGGGGTCTGACTCGGGTAAAGCCCCTTTTAAAAGTCTGCAGAATCCCCTAGCTGATTACACTGTAAGTGGTGATCCACCTTAACCCCGGCTGTGGTTAAGCATCAACGACTGCCCGACAACTGATGGTGGGCACCAACCACTGCCCTCAAGTTACCTGTGACTATCACTCACCCACACCAGATGCAAAACTCTACAGACTGTATATACTATATATTGTCAATATAAAATCTCTTTTTGGCCTGGGTGTGCAAGTGGTTCCTTGCGACTCTGGTAGCCTAGGTTGTATTTGTATTTCTAGAGAAAAAGGTTTTGAGGTAGCATCTCAGCCAAAAGTTGCTCAAATTAACGTTCCTTTACATCACAGATATCTTTTTTATATTTAGTTTTAAATCCTTTGTGTTCTTCTTTTTTGCATTTGCTTTTGTGCACGCATGTCATGTGCCCCGCATGCACGTCACGGGTACGCACATGCGCTCATGGCAAACGCTTGGAAGTCAGGGCAATGGTTTTTTTTTTGTTTGTTTTCCGTACTAGCCAGTGCTAGTTTGAACAATGGCACAAATCTGTGTTTGTTCACTGGTTAGACGTTCGAACAAAGAAAAAAAGAAAAAAAAAAACTTTCAGAAGGCTTTCTTTGAGAACTAAGAGGACCTGTTATGCCCTCGCCCACAAACAAACAAGCATAAGTGGACACAAGATAGTGGCCCTGATCTGCGTGTTGCATGTTGCATCTTATTCTATCTTACATTACAATTATGGCACATCCTTCTTTCTCGTGTCTGTACAACTCTTCTCCTCCTCCTCCTTGGCCCAACAGGTGCAAAAGTCACAGAGCATGCACACAACGTCCTGAAACCATCTCTCTCTCTCTCTCTCTCTCTCACACACACACACACACACACACACACACACACACACACACTGCGTTGCATGTGCTGTGCATCCTGCAATGGGGCAGCTTCTTCTGAATTCAGTGTTACACACGTGGTAGATAACAAAGTGGTGTAGGCCCTCTAGGGCAACAACTGCGTACCTGGTCACAACTGGGGCCGGGTTCATCACAAGCACCATGGCTGTGGCATGAAAAACTCGGAAAATGCGTCATAACAGCCACCAAAAGTCCTCTGCTGATGAAGTCTTCTGTACGGCCCAGTTCTGCCTGCACTGCTACTTTGAATGCCTGGTTTGCATCAAGACCGCAAGTTGCAGATGTCACCTGTATGAAGCACCACCCTAAAGCCAATAAGTATTACCGAAAATTAAAGCGATTTGAACTACTACATTTTTTATATCTTTTCAAAGTTTCCCTTTTTTCTTGAAGGGATACAAGTGCCCAAGACTGGCATTGTGAACTGTGCCGCATTATGGCCCGCATACCTTTTGTATTTTTTTAATTTTTTTGTGATTTTTTTTTTTTAAGGGATAGAAGTTGCACAGCCTTTGGTATCATGCTCTGTCCTGAAATTATCGAACACGTAGTTCCGGGCCTAACACAACCTAGACTAGCTTCTGGTGCTTAACAGTCTGCAGGGTTCACAAATCGGCAGGCGCAAAATCACAACCAAGACTAGCCCATGCTGCTAGACACCAAGGGAGGCAAAGGGGATGGTGAATGGTCGGCATTCACGTCCTCTGGAAAGACCTTCTGACCCTCTACCCTAGCTGCCAGACTAATTGGGCATAATAGGCAAAACCATCACACAAGAACCCACCTCCAACTACTTACCGCAACTCAGAACTCCAACTCTGAACACTGAGTGAGAGTTTATATGGATAATGACTCTCATCCTCACTCCAGGAAATGAACTGTCCAGCATTCTTACTGTGAGCAATGAAACTCGCATAAGATGTCTCAAAGCACATCTGTCTGTAAGTCTATCTGTCGGTCAGTTGGTTGGTCATTGGTCCGGCAGTGTGCATCGGTCGGTCGGTCAGTTGGACCGTCCGTCTCTCTCTCTCTCTCTCTCTCTCTCTCTCTCTCTCTCTCTCTCTCTCTCTCTCTCTCTCTCTCACACACACACACACACACACACACNCACACACACACACACACACACACACACACACACACACACACACACACACACACCCCTCCTCCCCCCCAGAGGGTCCCAAAGTACTGAAAACACGTCTATTCCACCTCTCTCTCTCTCTCTCTCACACACACACACACACACACACACACACACACACACACACACACACACACACACACATGCATATACACCCTCGAGACTCCATTTGCCCTTAACTTGTGAAAGATGTCATTTACACATTAGTGTAATTGAGAATGTCTGAAACCGTATTATTGATGGTGGACAGTTGCCAGAGGAAGTAAGTGATGCATTCGTGGCCAAAACAGAACGCATTCTTTACGAACCTCAGCACCTGCCGAAGCAATAATGCAAGATCCCAACTGGTAGAGCTTCTCCACAGAGGATCCTGCAAACAACAGAAGCACAAGTAGAATCTCACACGAGAAGCTGCCGATTACGCGAAGTGTTCAGACAAAGAAAGAGAAGGAAATCCACAGGAGTCAAGGACGATAACCCGCAAAAAGGACAGCGAATATGGCCACTTTCACGTCTGGGTTCAGCCAGCAAAACAATCAATGGACTTGCACAACTGGAAGATAATATAACTCTCCCTAGCTAACCATGTTTCTGAAAGTGCATGCATAAACTGAGGGTGCAGCTGAAGGTAGTATAACTCTCCCTAACTCACTATGGTTCCGAAGTGCATGGACTACCATCTTCCCCCCAACAGCATGCACCCTCACCATGACCATATCCGAAGACAAGAGACACTGCTTTTATACACTCATGATGAAGGTACTTTGGGTTCTGGGGGAGGTGGTAGCACAAAGATAGAGGCCATAACTATCTCCCTAACTCACCAGGTTCAAAACCGCATGCATGGACTAAGGGCGCAGCTGGAGATGGCATAACTCTCCCATTTCGCCACCAGTACACTGCCCCAGCATTGCAGAAAAGAAACACTTCGCCACCGCCGGACATTTTGGGGCTTTTGGGGCTCGGGGCAACCGGACCGAAATGGCTGTTGCCGCCAGGCAAAACAAAAAGAAAAATGCCGCGCTGGTGCTTCGGCGAATTTCAGCGCGTAGGGGACACGTCGTTCGGCGAAACATTCCCGGGTGTACTTGTGGTTTAACTCAACATGGTCCAAAACTGCATGCCTGGACTGGCACAACCTCAGATGGAATGGCTCTCCCTAACTCACCATTGTTGAGAACTCTCCATGGATATACTACCTTCTTCTCTCCAACACACGGCACCCTAATCATGAATGTATACAAGCTATATATGTCCAGTAACTCCGGTTTGAACATGGTCACGTTGAGCACAGCATATGCATGAGCTTGTGCAACTCCAGATGGTACAGCTCTCCCTAACTCATGACTCACCATGGTTCAAGACTCACTCAGCAGAATAGCACACAGTAAATGCTACGATCCTGGCTATTTCCGAAGTGCAAATTCACAAGGAAAGACAATGCCACCAATTGCAAAAGAAATGAAAGCACTTGCAAAGAGATAGAGACCAAAGAAGAAGAAAGAAGAAGAAAGAAGAAGATGTACACCAGCAAGACCAATGACAAATCCCCCTTCTCTCTCCACTCTCCTCTTCCTCCTTGTCTCCGCCAATCTTTTTCTTCTCCAAAACAGTTCTGGTCCCTGGATGGACCGGGGACCTTCGACCGACCGGGGGCCTACCAGTCTGACCGGGCGGTTCACTGGCCCGGCAGGCCCCTGGTTCGATTTGCCGCACTCCTTTTGGGGGGTGGTACAGGGGATTTTCGGGCTTCCCCGTCCCCGCCCAGCCTCTGGGAGGCCGCCGCCACCAGTGAAAATAAAAAACGGGCCCTACCTGACCCCATTTTCTTTTGAGAACGCGTGGCCAATCTCCGCCGCCGATCGGCACAGATCGACGGTGGAGTTCGGCCGCACGTTTCCAAAAGGAAACGGGGTCCAGTAGGCCCCCGGTTTCAAATTTGAAAACGTGGTTGATGTCTGCGGCCGAAATCGGCCGCGTTTTGGAATGTGAATCGCAGCGTGGTTTTGCGCTACCTCCGCCCCTCCGCCCTGCCTGCCCCACGCTACAGCAACTTCACACGACGTTGACGTCGCACCATTCAGCATGCACATCGACATTGTGTGCTGCCACCACGCAACCAGCGCCAGCGCCCCGTCTCCAGCCCGTCATCAACCTCTCTCTGCAGCTGCTTTGCCCCACCAGTGCGCTCCGTCGCAACCGCACCCCATAGCCGCAAAGGTAAATTCACCAGCACCCCTCCTCCTCCTCCTCCTCCTCCTCCTCCTCCTCCTCCTCTTCTTCTTCTTCTTCTTCTTCGTCTTCTTCTTCTTCTTTTCCTCCTCCTCCTCCTCTTCTTTTCCTTTCTCCTCCTCTATCCTACAACTCCTCCTCCTCCTTCCTCCTCTTCTTTTTCTTTTTCTCTTCCTCCTCCTTGTCCTCATCCTCATCATCTTTTTCCCTCCTCCTCTTCTTGTTGCTCTCCTCCTTGTCCTCTTCTTCTTCATCTTTTTCCATCTTTTTCCCTCCTCCTCTTCTTCTTGTTCTCCTCCTCGTCCACTTCTTCTTCATCTTTTTCCCTCCTCATCCTCTTCTCCTCCTCCTCCTCCTCCTCCTCTTCCTCCTCTTCGTCTTCCTCTTCTTCTTCTTCTTCTCTTCCTCCTGGTCCTCATCTTTTTCCCTCCTCTTCTTCCTGTTCTCCTCCTCGTCCTCTTCTTCTTCGTCTTTTTCCCTCCTCCTCCTCATCATCGTCTTCTTCTTCTTCCTGTCCTCCTCCTTCTTCTTCTTCTTCTTCTTCTTCTTCTTCTTCTTCTTCTTCTTCTTCTTCTTCTCCTTCTCCTTCTTCGTCTTCTTCTTCTCCTGCTCCTCCTCCTCCTCCTACCTCCCCGTTGAGCCCGAGCCATACCGGTAGCGATTTCTTTTTTCTTTTTTTCATCTCGGATTCTTCTTTTTCTTCTTCTTCTTCTTCTTCTTCTTCTTCTTCTTCTTCTTCTTCTTCTTCTCCTCCTCCTCCTCCTACTCTTCCTCCTCTTCTTCTTCTTTCTCCTCCTCGTCCTCCTCCTCGTCCTCCTCCTCGTCCTCCTCCTCGTCCTCTGCTTCCCTCCCCGTTGAGCCAGGGCCATAGCCATAGCGTTTCTTTTTTTACCGTTTTCGTATCAGATTCTCCTTCTTCTTCTCCTCCTCCTCCTCCTCCTCTTCCTACTCCTCCTCATCCTCTTCTTCTTCTTCTTCTTCTTCTTCTTCCGGGCCTGCACACCCATGAAACACACCCTGCACCATAAAAAGCCGCCCCCATTTCGGAGGAAAACATCATTGCAGGCTCTGATATCTTCCGCACAGGCCCTAGATTCAGGCAAATTGGACTGGTACCCGCCAACCTCTAGCCTACCGCTACTGGGCCTCTAAAAATGCCAACTTTTTGTCCTTTTCTGCTTGGCCTCCAGTTCCCAACACATCTACCACTACTTGAGTGGTACCAGCCTACCTGCTACTCAAGTGTTTTTCTCCCACTGCCCTAAGTGTCACGGGCCTACTCCCGTTACTTGAGTGCTTTTCCTGCTGCAACCGTCAAAATCACAGCCACAGGTAAGTACCGGCCTTGCGGGCCTGTCGGGCCACGCACACACACTCAGGCAGACGTGCACTCAGACATGCACACGGACCAGCAAGCCCGCACATACACACAGACTTAGAAAACTCAGCACAGCGCAGGAATCCGCAGCGCAGGAATCCCAGCAAGGCATACACTCCAGCGGCAAAACCCAGAAATCAGCAGAGTTCTCAGTCTGTGTTTTGGCAGGTCATTACACTAACAGTAAAAGACGGCAAACAACGGGAAACAAATAAAAGTCGAGCGTGCTCTGAGAAAGGGGACCAGCACAGCGTCATGCCGAAGGGGGATGACGAGTGGTGCCTCTGAGTCAGGCCTTCGGTCTTCTTTTGCAGGATCATCTGCACAGAAGCAATGACCGTGCAAAACACGGAACAGATGAGTTCGCCCTTGTGGATTGCAGTACTTTGTCATGTAAACAAGCAGGCGGCCAGGACTCGGCTGAAGAGGCAGATGCCCTTCCATACTTTCATGTATCTGTATCAAATGTTCTCTGTAAGGGACACTGGATGAGGTTTCCAGAAGGTGACGCTCCCCACCAATAGACTGGAGCCAGCCACAGGGATGCTAAAGGCGCCTGCTCCTACCAGCACCTCTAGCAGGCCTCAGGGCTGTCAAAAGGGAAAAAAAAAAAAAAGAAGAAGGGCAGCACAACCTGTTCTCTGTTCAAAAAGAACAAGTTAAAAAAACAGATAAGGTCAAACTTGCCAAAGCAATCGGAGTAGATGCGGTCAAACTTGACAAAGCAATCTGAATAGATTAAAAAACTAGGCTGCCAGAGTGGCCCGGGAGCACTTGCCCGGCCAGGGCCAAGAGGAAAAAAAAAAAAAAGAAGAAGAAAACTCTGAAAAAGGTAAAGAATTTCGATGTGACCCTGAGGCAAAAGTTGTTTAGTTTGTTTTTCTGCATAACATAGTTTTTTTTTAGATTTTTTTTATTTTTGTTTGTTTTTCTGGGGCCGGGACCACCTTTGACCCTCGCACGGCCGGGCCACCCGGGCACACACAGTGACCCAGGCAGCCCTGGTAGCCTAGTTAAAAAACAAAAAAAAAGGAATTCAATCATATGCACCATTTTGAAAGACTAATTCGCTCAATTCAACCCTTTCTTTTTAAAATTTTAATTCAACCATTTATTCAATGTTATTGATCTATGATAATTATTTTCCCCCATAGTCAGGATACTACTTGCACCCCTCCAACTCCAGATCCAACGCATTTTCCTTGAATTCACTGGGGAGCATGGCCTGCAAGGAAAACCACAGGACAGATAAAGTTGCAGGTTGAGCAATCAAACCACCACTGTCCACCAGTGGAAAAAAAAGAAGAAAAAAGGCACGCGTTCACCCGAATAAAACACCCGGCCATTATCGCTGCATCTGGTCTGAAAGTTGCCCCAAATACAGCTATAATGACCAGGCGTTCTACGCGGGTGAAGATGGTAGTACAATGATTGGAAGGCAAGTCTCATGATATGTGACAGATGAACCGCATTGCAAATAATGAAACAGCATCAGTAATGGGAAGCAGGCCTCTCGTGTCCCATTCCCATTCCCATTCCCATGCCTTTTCTTTTTTTTTAAATGCGGACCATTTCTCGATTTATGCGCGTCATCCTTGCTCGGGGCCATGGTATCTTCTCGGCGTTGTTCCAATTTCAACGGATGTCTGTAAGGACATTCCCATTCCCATTCCCATTTCCAGCCCATTCCCATAATAATGGTGAAAAATTGAGCTTCAGCCTTCAGGTTCTTAGTTCCTTAGCACTTATCGAAAGCAATGGGGAGCGTGCTTAGGGCATATACTCACAACAGCACTTTCTTGCATGCATCTGGTCCTAAATACGGCCAAATTCAGCTCAGAAACTCCTGCTCTGAGTACAAACTTACAGTATGCAAACTAATTCCATTAAGCACTTTCTTCTCTCGCAATCAATCGCCTCCTGTCAAAGAGTTATCCACAATGGGACAACACATCGAATGGCCAACAAACTGTCGTGTAAACTATGGCCAGTCTTAATGCTGGAGTGCACCATTTGACCATAAGTCTTTTCAAGTGAGACCTCATTTCCCATTCCCATAATAATGGTGAAAAGCTGACTTTTGTCGGTCGGCTCCTTGGGTCCTGAAGAGCGACTGGAAGGCAAGCCCGATGACATGCGGCAGGCAATACAAATTTTATTTACAAATTGTGGATAAATGAAAAGGCATGGGAAATGAGAAGCTGATGTAAAAAAACAGCTGCCATCTTTTCTTCTTTCTTTCTTCCCTCCTAAGAGTCCTAAATAAATACTCTATTGAATAATCAAATAAATATTAAATAGTGATCATACCAGGCCAGGGCACTGGCACATGAGGTTCGGGCCAATCTGATGCGCCAAGCGTCAGAGGCTGAAACGGATGAAGAACAGGAATAGGGTAGAAGAAAGCCAAACAAAACAACCGATTTGTAGTATAGCTAGAATGCGGACTGAGGATCACTGGGCGGACCGATAGTTGGACAGAGAAGTGTATTATAGTAGGATAGGTGAGACGATAGGTGGAGGGAAAGCGAGGACTTTGAGGGACTTTAGAGGGCAAGTAGGGGAAGGGTGGGAAATGGGACTAGGAGGGGAGGGTTAAGGGGGCAAAATCACGCATAAACACACAAAAAGAGCGTAGGGGGCCAAGGTAATAGTACAAACATGTATGCTGGGGTCTACACAGGAGACCTGGAGTAGAGATGGCAGGACTAGAGAATAAAATACTAGGATGGTTAGAGCAGGGAATAGGGTGGACATGAAGGCACACGAGGGTACACAGGGTAATGCAAGGATAAGGAGACAGGGAGTGAACATGCAGCAGAATGGGTGTAATAGAATAGGACAAGGGAAGAAAGGGGTACAATTAGCGAAGCGGTAACAAGGATGGCAGCGCCCATGTAAGCGGCAGAGATAGGGAATAGCGGGACAAAAGGCGGCCTGAGGAACTGCCACAGACGCCCCCCCCGTGCCTGGCCTTTCCGGAGTTTGACCTGCTGCATGACTGGGTGCTGCTACCGTATTGACCCGAACAGAACGCCCGGTCATTATAGCCGTATCTGGTGCAATTTTCAGTCCAGGTACGGCTATAATGACCGGGCGTTCTATTCGGGTGAAGACGGTAGTAAGACTCCCGGCCTGCAGGCCAACCCCCTACAAAAGGCCAAGGCTTGAGGGGAGGGGTGCTCTGTAGCAGTCCCCGCCTTGCCAGGTGCCGAGAACCACAAGGGCTGGGCTGTTTCTCGTTTTCCGTCCTTTCTCCCCACCTTCTCTGTTGGATGTACAAAACTTGCTTGCCGGTGATAAGCAACCGGACTGATGTCCCCTCAGAATAGAAGGGCGTTGTGGTTAAATAAATAAATAAATAAATAGTGATCGGCGATGGCCGTCATACCTTTTCAAGCTCGGCAGCTTCAACGCCTGTTACAAAACGAGCAGCCTGCCGCAGAAGGGGCGACTGCATCACCTGATCCCATACCCTGTCTCTTATACACATCTAGATGTGTATAAGAGACAGGAATAGAAGGGCGTTGTGGTTAAATAAATAAATAAATAAATAGTGATCGGCGATGGCCGTCATACCTTTTCAAGCTCGGCAGCTTCAACGCCTGTTACAAAACGAGCAGCCTGCCGCAGAAGGGGCGACTGCATCACCTGATCCCATACCTGGGAAGGGAGAGAACCCACCGACACCGATCTTGCTGGAACAGATGGCTGTTCTTTCTGCTCGTCATCTCCTGACCAACCACAACAGGAGAGAACACAGGGAATTCCGCTGCAGAACACCGACCAGTTCAAGTCCAACATCAGAACTCATATGTAATCCTGCAGGAGAGTGGAGGGGAGGAAGGGGGGAAAGGGAAGAAACAGGAGAGAACTTGCACACAAGGGGCACGCAATTCTCATCCCATGATCTAGAAAATACTCCATTTCATCGAGTGGCATCGAGTTAAGATTATTTTCCGTTTTGCTGTGTGTGTTTACTAGGGCCATTATCCAGCTTCAGTTAGCTGTGTTCTTGGGCATAACAGGGGAACCCCTTGAGCCATATCCCTTCTTGCAGCTGTATCCCTCACATAGAGATAATCATGCTGCGCCTACCACAGGCATTGTGTGGGGCTCAGGGTGTGGACAGCACAGATGGGGGCCTGCCGGGAGCGCTGGTGCTGAGCCTGTCTTTGCCAGTAGCTCTACCTCCCCTTCCCTCCCATCAAACATGAGCAGTATCTTTAAGCCAACTGTGTTGGCTTGAGACCCATCTAATGCCAACCTGGGGAAGCCAACAAGCTATCTCTAGTTGGTGTGCACCAAGCAGGCCCCAGCCGGCCAGTGTGGATCCAACCCATGACCTCCTGAATGCCACTCGTGCAAACCAACTGAGCTATGCCATTTACTTGAGCTCAGACTCTCATGCTACAAAGTTTTTTTTTTTTTTTTTTTTTTTTTTTTTTTTTTTTTTAATTTGGACCATTTCTCGATTTATGTGTGTCATCCTTGCGCAAGGGCCATAGTACTCTTCTCTGTATCGTTCCAATTTTAACGGATTTCCTGAAGGACTATTTATTTATTTATTTTGTCTCATGATATACACGGATTCTTGGGCTTTGTGCTTTTTTACATCATTTCCGTGACTTCACGGGACACTACACTCTACACTCCATTTTTTGTGACTCGATCAATGTCAGGGGATTATTTGGCAACCAACAGAAAATTTGGATGTTATCATTCACCTACTTGACAGGTAGAGGTTCGCACACTACACCTTCCGCATGCTTGCACTTCACAGCTCAAAACCCATGCAGTAGCGTTAATGGCATAAATGATAGATGCAACTGTGCTTCGCACACATAGCACGACAAATGCAAAACATTCCTGCTGGTGGCCAGGGTAGTCACGCCTACGGTAGGCGGCCCTAGACCCGTCGGCTGCCGACCAGCCGACGGTAGGCGCCGTCGGCGCCGACCGGTCGG